AAGATTAATAAAGCATACTAAAATGGCAGTAACATAAATAATTATATCAAATTCAATTCTGTTCTCGCAATATTCTTGGTTAAAATAATAATATTTTATTAATAATAGTAAATTGAGCTCCTTTAAAAAGTTATTTAATTCTTATATGATATATCTATCTTTAGAAAATTGATCATAAAAAAATAAATGAAGATACTATCACTTTAAGTATTCATTTTTTTTAAAACTATCTAATTTAAATTATTGTAAAACTTAAATTCTCTTAAATAATATACATAATAATTTTTTCATTTTTCTTAATATTTTCTTATCTAAATTTCTTTGGATATATCATCCCATGTAATTAAATATTCTCCATTATCACTCATTATTCCAAATAAAGAACTTGTTCCAAAATCAATAGATTATTAAGTGATAAAATCTCCATTTTCCTTCCTCTTAATCAAATTAATATTTTATCCATTCTTATTCACAAGCAGATATTTCTGCTTTATATATTATTACGGAAATAGACAAGCACCATCAGATCCACATTTAACTATCAAATCCTTTGTCTTTGAATACTATTTGTAAGTATTATTCAATTCATAAATATGCATCTACTCTTTAGAATAAGGTTAAAGTGTAAATATATTATCATCTATAAAACATATTCTAATTCCATAATTTTCAACTTTAATCTTTTATATTATCGACCATTTTTTATCTTATGATGAATATTCTATTATTAAGATTAAGTTATCACTTCCACAAGAAATCAATTTATTCTATGAATCATTCATACTTAACCCATAAACAGAATTAATATGATCTGTTATTGTTTGCGAACAAATCCATCCATTTTACTTTATCCAAAATTTAATTGTTTTATCAAAACTACAAGATATGATAAGATCTTCTTTTTTTGCTTTTGATAGATGAAACTGAATTTTTGCTTCCTAACATTCTTATTTTACTTTCTTCTGAAGAGAATAAATTTGAGTTGCTCATTCTTCTATTTGCAATTTTTCTTGAAATTGAGAAACGTTTCTTAGAACTTCTAACTACTTCAGGTTGCTTTTTCTTTCTATCATTGATTTTCTACATTTCCTTATAAATAATATATTAATCATATTTAAAGTTAAGCTTGAAAACAAAAAATTCAAGTTAACCAACTAGCACTAAAAATAAAGACAAAAATTTAGAACATGATCCTCTAATTTTATAACAACTTTATTCTCAAACTACAATTTATAAATGAATTTTCAATTGAAATTATAATAATAATTATATATATCATTTCATAGCTGAACGATTACTCTTATGAATTGTTGTTCTACTGTCTCCTCATAATTCTGATTCTGTTTCATAAATTATATCAGTTCTATTCATGTTAGTACTTTTTCTGCTTACTCTAGAATCTCTATTTAACTAGAATTTTTCTGATAATGAATATAATCTATCAGCCAATGATTATATATTATTTTTTAATTTACTCTAATCTGGTTATTGAGATCCTTATTGAGAATGATTTTCATTTGATTTACTTCTATAATCCTCTTAAATTTAAATTGGCTATTAATCTAAATTATTATTATAGCTTAAATACTTTTCTGATCTTAAATGTTTTCGGCAAAGTTTTTAGCACCTCTAAGATTAGGTTTTTTAAGTTAAGGAGACTTATTTTCATAATTTGATAGAGTTGATAAACGATTATACTTGATGTTTATTATTGTTAACAATTATTTATTATACTAAATATATAGATGTAGCCTTGAAATAACTATATTATTTTTTTTTTAGATTATAATTATTTTACATCTTTTTTTGGAGTTTTCTTTTAACTTTTAGGCAAAGCATTTTAAGATAGTCTTTCATATTTTTCATTTTACAATTTTAATTCTTTAATTTACCATTCCATATCTTTGTGAGAATTAAAATAAGTAAAAATTTATTCATTAGATTTTTATAATCTTTTATGTAATTCTGTACAATTCTTCTCTAAAAGTGTGTTCTTTTCCATTTCTTAATATATGAATTTAATTCTTAAGTTTTCTTTAAAAGTGATACATAAGTTTCATTAAATTAAATTACTGATGGTTTTGAAACTAATTAAACTTCAGATTATTTCAAATTTGTTAAAATTTCTGAACAATGTAATGCTTACAATTATTCTTTTAATGAATCAATAATTATTTATTAATCTAAAATGATCTTTTCATTTTATTTATTTTTTTAGATTAATTAATTTAATTTTTATTAATTATTAGAATAGGAAGCATCAAAATTAACATTCTATTCAATTTTCTACTCTACCAATTTTGTACTGGTACCAAATCTAAGAGTAGATTATGTTTATTCATATAAACTTAATCCTGGATTAATACTTAATAAAATTAATGATTTAAAATTTCCTGTAAGTGAAGATCTAAATAGATTATAACAATATTAATTTACTTTAATAATTTAGTTAAAGTTGAATTATGGTATGGAATATGTTGAACCTTTTAAGTTTTTAATGCTTTGACTCTTGTTGAAAAGAATAAACTTTTATTAATTGCAGAACTTTCTTTATTTCTATCTTTCCTATTAGAATTTCTAGTAATGCTTCAGTTGAAAAAGTAAAGTTTTCCTCAGATTCATTTGAATAAGCGCTTATAGATACTTTGAAAATAGTATGACTTCTACTACTTTAATGATTCAATGTAGTTTCTGCATAATGTCTATTTTTTTCTCCTTTTGAAATACAAGTTATTGCATCTTCAATTCATCAATAGAAGTAACAT